AAATATTTTCTAACTGCATCTACTTAGATCAATCAGTATGAAATGTTATAGTCTTCGCGAGCGTTGCGAGAAAGTGTGAAGAACGATTTGGGCTTTCGTTTGGAATATAAATTTCATACGGATTGGGATATGCAACATATGCGAGCACGAGGAGATCGCGACAAAGGTACGATATTTTTTAGTTGAATGATTTTACCGTCAGCATAGTGTGTTACACTCCGCCAAATCCAGGAAATCGCGTAGTGGAGCCTGATTGTTTTACCCTGATAATTAATCCTATATAAGGCTTAGTTTCTTGCTGTTAAAGCTATGCAAATCACTGCATTTTCTAAAATGTCATATTGTTTGCGCACTATTTGTGGTCAAGTGGCATCCACCATAGTAATTGATATTAAGGTTCAAAGATAGAGATCAGTTGTATTTTGTATAAAGGTTGTATTTTGTTTATAGGTTTAAAACTCTTCTGTTCAAGGTTGCCGATTTGTGTTTAACTCATCTGTGCAAACAAGTGGTAAGCTATGGAGCGTAAACTATCCGGGATTATACCCAAGATCGCTGTACTGCGAATATATATTCCATGGCAGTGATGAACAGATAGTTCACATACATTTTGAGTATTTTGACGTCGAAGGATTTAACCAGTAAGTTCAGTTGAGTCGCAGTTTTTACTAAGTAGTAGTTTGTGTTTAGATGCGATGAAACAACGCAAAGTGACTTTGTGCTATTCAGCAATTACCAGACACATGATAGAACGAATAGAAGATTTTGTGGGAAGGTAATTGTCAGCTTAGTTACTTAAGAGTGGGATGGATAACGGACTTAATGAACGATAGCTATTGCCAGCCGCTAATTCGACGCTAAAAGGCGGGTCAAGGCGCAATTCGGCGCGAAAACGTAAGCCCAGCAACTAACACAAAATCTATCAGCTTATGTTGCTTATAAAAGAGAGATAAAGGTAAAACAACATAAATATTCAGTAGATCACCAAAGAAAATTTATCTTTTGCGGTACTTCAAGTCAGTTTGACAGTTGCAGATTGACTCAAGTTTCTTTCAAATTCATTATTGTTCGTTTAATATATTGTAGGCTAGCTAAATTGCTGGTGATAAATGACCTTATCGAGTTGAAAGCATAAAGCGGTAAGGGGTAGAGTATGGTGCGTTCAAGCCCGATGCGACTGTCAATTGGAGCTATCGTTCATAAAGTCGTGCACCTGGAGTCTTTGAAGGTCATACGTTTAAGGTAGCTCCACGAGGTCCAATATTGTCGGAATCGAATTATTTTCGAATGATTTTCTCAACAAATGACATATTTGATGCTACTGGGTTCTATGCTCACTATCAGTTTATTACTCAACGTAAGTTCTATATGAGCATTTTTCTCAAAGTTCTTTGCAAAGTTGTTTTTGTTGCGATTTTCATTTTCAAATTAGGTGCATTTTTGTGTATCATCTCATTGTATCTCTATTCAGTTTTACTTTAGCTAAAAGCCTTACATAGCGTACACGTACAATAGCAATCGCTCAGGCAGATAGAATTGCATTCAACAGTAACACTTAGAATTAAGTTACATTGCACTTTTGGGCGAATGTC